TTACTGTTATTAATATCACTGTTATTGTTATTATTATTATTATCACTCTTACGGTCATTATTATTTGTAGTTACGTTATTATTTAGCAGTATTTTATTGCAGTTTCGAATTTCAGTAATTTTATTTTATCTGCTAGTAATATTTTATTTAGAGGATTTTAAGGGGAGAGACTTATTTTATTTCAATTAGTTATTGCTGATGGCATTTGGTATTCGCATATTACTTCACTGAACAGCTTATTTACGTATTATTTAGCTGTAGTTTATTTTGTTCTTGTTCGCTTTCGGCTAACTTCTTTGCAAGCAGATAGGCAAATGAAAGCATAGTTAAGTTTAAGCTTGAGCTTTGTCGTTTTTGAGCTGTTGTTTTTGTTCGAATAAGTTCATTTTTCAATTATTTTAAGTATTCATGTTTTTTGTTTAGACTTATTGGTTTATGAAGTTCTTTTCTCATTTCTTCTTTCTATTAAAATCAACATTTAAATTTTGAAGTTTGTTAACTTTCAGTTGTTCAAAGAGAAAGGAGAAAACTAGTATTTCAAAAGTAACTTAAAGTTAAATGATTTTAACGGAAACAGATAAATTGAAGTTGTTAAGTGTTCTCCTTTCAGTAAAATAAAAAGGAAATTTTTTTCTCAAATTTTCAAAGCCATTAATTGTTGAAGTACAACGACAACGGCGCCCATCGCAAATGCCCTCTCCGCTGTCGTTGGGGCAATGTTCAGTTATTATTGTGCCGCTGTTTGCAAGAATACTGCTTTGCAGCATTTTACTGATAGTATAACGATGGCTTAGACTACCGTTTCAGTTGTCGTGCTGTTGTAGCTGATGCTATGATGGTAGGTGGTGGTGATGATGCTGTTGGTATTGCTGTAATGATGTTTCCATCTTAAAGCAGTAGCCTGTGGTGGTAGCGGCAGTGATCCGGATTGCCTTTTGTTTTCAACAATATCGCATGCGTTTCGGCCCGTAGTCGATTTCTTTTCCATGAAAACTCCACTGAACTTCAACGGTGGTTTCCGATTAGCGTTCCATGTTCTTGTTTTGTTTATCTCTCTCGTTTTTTCGTCTTTTCCTTGTGTTCCCTCTCTCATCATCACTACCCTGCATCTTTTGCTTCTTTATACAAACTTTCTCAGCTTTTTTTCCACAGGGACGTTTCACTGCTTCTTTTGATGCCTGGCGGTTATTTCTTGCAAAGGCAGATATAAATGACGGGATTTTTTTTTTTCTTTCTTTGCGCTCTTTCTCTTCCAACATTTTCCATACTGCACCCTTACGACGAAGCTAATTTGTACTGATTTTGGATTTTTGTTAATATTTTTAGTCAAGAATGTTAAAATTGTTGATGTTAGTGGGAAGTTTACGAAGAAGAGAGCAAATTAATCTTGAGGCGTATGTATGTACACTATTGCAGTAAATGTAGTATAGCAAAAAGTATTGATAAGCGTTAAATTGGAGCATCTCTGAGTGTTATTCTAGCCAAAAGTCCTAGCATGCTAGCTTTTGTCTCTGTTTCATCAACCATCTTTATCTATATTGTCTTCATTTGTTGTTGTTCTGTTTC